TGTTTCTTGGGTCCATTTGATTGGAAGATCTTTCCCCAACCTTTAATTCTTAGGTACCATCTGTCTTTGAGGTTGAGATGAGTTTTTTGTATGCAGCAGAAGGAAGGATTCTGTCTTCTTATCCATTCTGCTAATCTGTGTCTTTATAGGAGAGTTAAGACCATTAATGTTGATGGATATTAATGATCAATGATTATTGTTCATTCTTGTTTGTTTTTGATTTGGTGATGGTGTTGAAATTATGTTTGGGATTCTATCCCTTTTTTCTTTTGACTGTTGGTAAACTGGGATTATCTATTGCCTATGTTTTTCTGGTTGTAGTTAACTCCCTGGGTTGCAGTTTACCTTTCAGTACTTTCTGTAGGGCTGGATTGGTGGATATGTATTGTTTGAATCTGGTTTTGTCATGGAATATCTTGTTTTCTCCATCTCTAATGATTGAAAGCTTTGCTGGGTATAGTAGTCTGGGCTGGCATCCATGGTCTCTTAGTGTAGGTAGAATATCCATCCAGGACCTTCTGACTTTCAGAGTTTCCAAGGAAAAGTCAGGTGTGATTCTGATAGGTTTGCCTTTATAGGTTACTTGACCTTTTTCCTTTGCTGCTCTTAATATTTTCTCTTTGTTGTGTATGCTTGAGTCAGATGACTCTGAGCAGCGATGATGAACCAGAACCGGAAACAGTTCCTGGCCTACCTGGGCCTGTGGATGGAGGCCTGGCTGCCTCTGGGTTTTCAGTGTTTGTAACCCACCACCGCCGAACTGAGTCTGGCGCATTGGTCTCTTGCATCAGATGACTCTGAGCAGCCCCATGGCAACTCTTACATTTAAAAAAAAAAGTGCATTTAATTGGGCTAGCTTACTATTCAGAGGTTTAATCCATTGTTATGGTGGGAAGCACAGTGGCTTGCAGGCAGGTATGGTGCTGGAGAGATAGCTGGAATTTCTATATCTGGATTGTCAGGCAGGAGCAAGAGAATGACAGTTGGCCTGGCTTGAGCATCTGAAATCCCAAAGACCTCTCCCAGTGATACACTTCTTCGAACAAGGGCACAACTCCTTAAGTGCCATTCCCTATGACCCTGTGGGGGCCATTTTCATCCAAACCACCACATTTGTGTATAAGGTTCCTTTATTGGCTAATCCCTCGACAAAGTGTGCTGAGTAATGCCTGATAAAGAAACTCAAAGCTGGGTGTGGTGTTACATGCCTATCTAGAATCTCAGTATTTGGAAGTTGGAGGCTGGAGGAGCTAGAGTTTGAAGGTTGTCCTTGATAAAAGCTTGCCTGAGCAACATGAGAGTCTGTTTTTATTGGTTTGCTTTGTTTTTAAGTTGTATGAGGCGAGGAACACATTCATATCTAACTAGAAATTATCCCCACAGAATGTTTTGTTGACAAAAGACTGGATACATTTTACAAATTACTGTCAAACCCCAATGCTGCAGGTTTAACAACCCTTCATCCAGCTAAAGTCTTTTTTCATTACTAAGTTTTGACTTAAATGAGTGTTTTACTTAGCTTGTATATTAGTAACTTAAATAAAAATGTAATTGGAACTGGAGAGATGACTCAGCAGGTAAGAGTGCTAGTTGGTCTTTTAGAGGACTGGAGCTTGGTTTCAAGCACCCATTTTCAGTGGTTCAAAATCCACCCGTAATCCAGCTCCGGGAAATCTAATGCCTTCTTTGTCCTATAGGCAGGCACCTTGCATATGTGTATATAAACACACACACACACATTAATAGAAACAAAATGTGTATGTAAAAATAATTTTAAAAATTAAGGACTTTTCCCACACTTTACCTTATCCATCTGTCTGTCATATCTAGAGATAGTATATAATTCCTTAAAACAAAATATACTCCTTAAAACAATAGTTGCTCTCATGTAGTGCTCCATGACTGATACACATTTAACACATTGGAAGACGTCCAGCAACAGTGCATATAGTTCCACTTAATTATTTTTAATTGTTGTCTGATAGTCTTTAGTTAGTGGATATATAAATTGTTTTTTTTAGTGGACTTACATTTATTTTTTGCTGTTGAAAACAGCACTGAATAATTATCCTTATGTTTGTCTTTGTGCATATGTAGTGGTTTTTCTTGAATTGATTTAAAGAATTAGAATTACTGGACAAGAGAATCCAAATATGTGGTGATATATTGTTATGATCTAATAAAGCCACTGAAGATCAGAATGCAAAGCTAGCCACAGCCATAGAAGCCTGAGATGGTGGCATACACCTTTAATCCCAGGACTCAGGAGACAGAGGCAGATGGATCTCTGTGAGTTCAAGGTCACCCAGGGCTACGTGAGAGTGAATCAGTCTAAAAGAGAAACAGAGCTCATACCTTTAATCCCAGTACTAAAGAGGTATATAAGATAGGAACAGGGCATTCAGTATTCAGTCTTCTGGAAATTAGTCTGTAACCACATTAAGGTCAGGATCCCTCCTCCAGCCTTGATAGAGGTAAGAGCTCTCTGGTTGCTTGGCTGCTTTGCTTTTCCGATCTTCAGCTTGAACCCCTGATCTACCTCTGGGTTTGTATTATTCCTGCTACAAAATATAAATTTTGATATCCCATAGTAGTGCTAGTATACTTTTCCCTGCACTAGTAAGCTTTCATTTTTCCAGACACTTACTGGTAATGATTAAGAACTGTATTGGCCTTTCTAAATGGCATATTGTTTTAATTTGTACTTCTTGATTAGTATGAGGGATAACAGTTTTCTTATGCATCTTAATCATTTGTTTCTAATGTAAGTCATCTGTTAGTTATCCTTCACTCATGTATCTATCTTGTCTAGTTTTGTATGTATTTTTAGGATGTTGGTTACCTTCTAGTGCTAAGAATAATATTTGTTGAAGCTACATCTTCTTTTCCTTTTCTCATGCTTTTTAAATTAAAAAAAATTGTATGTTACAACTCCTCTCAGATACTGCCTTCCAACTTCATGCTCTTTCTCTCTCAGAAAAAAAAACCAAAACAAAAAAAAAACTAACCTCTTACCCCTCCACCCCCTCAAAACACATTAAAAAAAACATGGATTCCATGTAACCTAGGCTGTCCTTGGACTTTCAGTGTTCCTGCCTCATTCTTAGTACTGGGATTTTGTATGAGCAGCTGTTGAGGATGTGCTGGTGTGTGTATGTACATACATATACATACATACATACATACATACATACATACATACATACATACTTAAATGTGTTTCTGAACTTTTTGTCCAATTTTGCTTATCAGTTGCATTAGCAATGGGGAAAATTACAAAATTTTTCTTCATTTTCTTCAGTGCTCATTAACTCTATGCTTTTGAAGAACTTGTCCATTAAGCCATTTAGTGAGGTATCTCCTGGGCATAAGTAATTTCATTTCCCTTTAAGACATTGATCTATTTCAGCTAGTTCTCAAGAATCATTTTCATTGCACTATTTATGTATTTAATTTTATTTGTTGTGGCATATGTCATGCCATGTGTGGAAGTTAGGGAACATCTATCATCTTTAAGCCATCTCATGAGCTCTGTCTCTGAGTCTGTATTTAAAAACAGAAGTCTGAGTTATATGGAAAATTTATGTTGGTGGTTATGTTTGCAAAATGGCCACAGTGTATGTGGCTGTGGTCTTTACATTCCTGACAGGAGTGTTGAAAAGTTCCAGATTCTCTTTTAGTTACTGACTATCTTGGTAGACGGAAGCCTGTAGTGGTATTTTACTATGGCTTTAATTTCCATTTCACTAAGGACTATTGATATGAAGCGTATTCTACATATAAATCTCTTACTCCCTTTGTGATTTGCAGCGTTTTCTATAGGACTATAGCCTGTCTCTTCCTTTTCTTAATGTTGTCCTTTCTATTGCAAACATTAACTTTTTTTAACTTTTTAAAATTTATTTATTTTATATGTATGAATGTTTTGCCTGCATGTATATAAGTAATAGCTCACAAAGCTGGGAACCAGGAACATACTACACATAGCCTGCAGGCAGCTCAACAGGTTGAAGAATGTCCTTTTTTAGTGACTCATTTGGTCTAAAACTCTTCTAGGCAGCTGGTCTGATCTCAGAGTCTTGTTTGCAGCTTAGCTCTGCTTACTGTGGCAGGCAGGGCTCTAGTGAATCTGGGTAGTTTAGGGACTTTGTGAAGCTATTTTGAGTTGTTTACCTTCTGCTAAGTATCCCTGCAGGATGGAATGTTTCAGTCTCTAGGAAACTGTATACAACACCATCTAATCATTTTTTTTCATTTATCTACTGTGCATTTCATTAGTCAATTTAATTAAGGTCATAAACATAGCCTATTTTTTATATGCTTTATAACTTTAATTCATAGTTAGTTGTTAACTCTTTAATTGGTACGAAGTGCCTAAATTCATCTTTTATCTGTTAAGTTCTTTTGATTAAATGTAATAGCCTATTTCTGCAATCTCAAGTTTACATGAACTTAGTTTTATGCTAGTCCCATACTGTTTTAATTTCATGCAAGTCTTGTGAATTTGCTCATTTCCCTCAATATTGCTATGGCTATTATGGGTAACTTTAATCCTTATTTAGGTATCTCATAAATATTTCTTAGCAGTAGATTTGCTTTTGACTATTCCTTTGTTGATAGTGTTAAATGATATTGCACTGGCATAGATAATGTGGTCTAGTGACTGCTTTGTTCGGTCTAGGTATGTAACTTTTTTTCATGTGTGTTAATCTAGGTGGACTCTGTCATCATCTTGGTAGATTGTTCTATTTATTACATAAAATATTCTCCCCCTTTTCTCTCTTGGCCTTGAATTTTGTTCTTGTGAATTAATGTGAATTTTGTTTTCATTTGTTAACTTTTACCAGATTTTTGTCTGCCTTTTTTTGCCAAACAGGTCTTAATTGATATCCCCAATCTGACTATAATATTTTTAATAATATATCTTGCCTATGGGTTTAATTTGTAATCATGTTAGAGGAAAACCTTGTTTTTCAGAACCAATTTTATTATTTTTTTAGATGGTCTGGATTTCTACTATTCTTCAAAACAACATGCTCAGAAGATGGTAGAGTTTCTTCAGGGTACAGTTCCCTGTAGGTATGTTGTAAACCTAAATGTGTAAGTCCATGGATCTGGGAATAGGACATACATAGGTCACATCTGTTCTTTAGGCTTAGATAACATATTTTGTTAAAATTAAATTTTAGCATCACTGTTTAAACAATCATGAAACATTGAGTTATCCATTTTATATTAGCCAATGAGTGCTGAAGACTCTTTTGATAGCCCCATAATAATAAGCACTGTAATGCTGAATCATAGAACATGGATAGAAGAACTAGGACTTCAGGATGGGAGAAGTTTTCATAAGCTGAGTTTATATTGAAAGCTGAGATTAGTAGGAACAAAGACCTGGGAGGTGGATTAGTGTGGCTTAGAGTGTAGTCATTCTCATGAAGGTTTGAAATACAAGTGGATAAAATTAGTCTTTTCTCTGTGTTCTAGTTTTGTGTCTGTTGCTGTGATAAAGGGTTTGTTAGGTTTACAGTTGTTTCAGTTCATCATCATGGGTAAGTCAAGTCAATGAGTCACATCACATCCAAGAGCAGAGAGAAATGGATGTGGACATGCCCACCCACTTGTTTGTTAGTTCTCAGCTAGATTTCTCTATTCTAAAACAATTCAGGACCCTCTGCCTAGGGCAGTGGTGCTCAACCTTCCTAATGCTGTGACCCTTTAATACAGTTCCTCATGTTGTGGTGACCCCAAATTTCATTGCTATTCATTACTGTTTTGCTATTATGAATTGTAATGTAAATATCTGATAGGCAGGACCCACAGACTGAGAACTGCTGTCTTAGGGAATGTGCTACTGTGAGGCTGGTTCTTCCCACACCAATTTAGTTAATTCAGACAGTCCCCCATAGACATGTTCATAGCCAACCCAGTCCTTCTCAATACTAAGACAGTCCTTCTCAGGTGATTCTAGGTTATGTCAAGTTGGCAGTAAAGCTAACCACACCATCAGGAAGCTGTTTGAAGACAGTGGACTTTGATTTGATGAAAGTTGATGTCCCCAACTTTATACAAGGAAGGACTTGTCCCTTTCATTAATACTATTATTTTTTTAACAGATACAAAGCATCACAAAGATTGATCTCCCAAGACATCCATAGTAACACATACAATTACAAGAGCACTTTTTCTGTGGAAATTGTTCCAATATGCAAGGTACCTCTCTTCATATAATTAATGGCTGTAAGAGAATAGTAATTAATTGGCTATATATAATTTATTGCTCCTGGTTTCCTACTGGCTAAAAGTAAGAATGACTTCCCTTAAATGATTTCTGACATGCTCAGCTTTGTTAAAAAGGTTTAAAATACGTGTTTATAACTATGAATTGGAATGTTCTTCATTTTGGTGTACTATGAGGAAAAGATTGGGCTAGGGTGATGGCTCAGCCTTTTTAACGTGCTTGCCATGCAAGCTTGATAACTCGAGTTGGATCTCTGGTACCCATGTAAAGGTAGGAGAGAACCAGTTCCACGTAGTTGTCCTCTGATTCAACATGTACACCTTCATGAACATGCATGCACACATATACACAGACAAATAATAAAATTATAATAAATTGATTGTAAAAGTTTATAATACACTTTTATTAAAAATTGGAGTCTTAGTGGACATACACTAATTTCATAAAACTTTCATTTATAAGAAATGGTAGTTAAAAAGATCAATGAGCCTCTTTGGAATATGTGTGGGTAAGAGTTTTGTATATGTACACGTGAGTGCATGTATATATAGATGTGTACATATGGAGGCCAGAAGTCAGTTTTAGGTGTCTTCATCAATGGCTGTCCATTTTATTTTTTGAGATAGTTTCTCACTGTACCTGGAACCAACTGATTAGCTGGCTAATGAGCCACTGGACTTTGCTTGTCTCTACTTCCCTATTTCAGGCGTATAAGCTTTTTTACCTGAGTGCTGAGAATCAGCTTGTGCTATCTTTCTAGCCTGGCCAACAGGATTTTGGCTTACAGTATTAAAGGAAATGAGATCCTAGAATCATCTTTGCTTGTAAACATAATTTCAGTAAAACATTTAAAACATACATTATCATTTCATTTAAATGTACTAAGATCAAACTTTAAAAAAAGACAAATGATTGAATTCCAATAACTAGCCGGGTGTTGTAGTACATGTCTTTAATCTCTGCATTTGTGAGGCAGAGGTAGGCAGATCTCTTGAGTTTTAAGGCCAGGACAGCCAGAGCTACATAGTGAGACCCTTCTCAAAAAAACAACCAAAAAATTTCAACAGATAGTAATAACAGTTGTACTGGGCTGGGGATGTAGCTCAGTTGATAGAGTGTTTGCCTAGGTGCTTGAAGCCATGGGTTCAGTCTGTATAACCATATAAAATCAGATGTGTTGGCACACACCTACAGTTAAAGGTCATTTTCAGCTACAAATAAAGTTTCACGAAAGCCTATATGATACTATCTCAAACAAGAAAGGAAAGGTTTTACTAACGAAGAGCTCTTTACCATGTAGAAACTTGTGTTTATATTAAATCACTAAAAAATTATCAATATTATAATTTATGGTGGCCTTTCTACATTAAGCTGATATTTATATACTTCAGTATCTTTCACTTAGATTTATGTCTTACGTAAGATGATGATATTGAAACTTAGAAAGGTTAGATAGATGACTTAATGTAACCACAAGTGATGAAACTACTCTCTGTACCTAGGTCTGTGACTAGAGCTTTTGAAGTTGTTAACACTGAATTATATACCAATACAAAACCAGGGATGAAATGACAGCCTAAAATATGGTTGGCAGGCTTCCCCTAACAATATTTCTGTTATGTTTTGTGCTTTCAGTCCATCTCTCCAGTAGAACTGTTCAACTCCAGTGTTGACAAGGGTATCCATAGATGTTAATATGTAAGCAAATGACCATAGCTGTGTTCTAGCTAAAAGTAGTTATTTTGAGTACCACTTTTTGCCAGTCCTCATGAAAAACAATAAAAGCCTTGAGTAATATAAATTTAGGTATGACAGCATAATTAGGCCTGGTGTATTAAATAAAATGAAGGGCTGTAGTTGTCTTGTGGTATCTATAGATAATTAGGATTCCCTGTAGACAACAAACTCCAGAGATATACAAATCTCTCATAAAATTGTGTAGTATATGTTACTCATTAATAGATTACTTAAACTTAATATAGTATGTGTGCTATGTAAATGGTTCTTATTTCAGCTCTAATTTTAGGGAATGAAAACAAAAAGATTCCACCTGTCCAGTTTAGGTGCAGTGCTTAAAAAAATATTTCTGATCCACAGTTGGATGAGCTAGAGGGTATGGAACACATGGACATAGAAAGCTGATTATGTGTTTGTTTGTCTTTGGGAGCTCCTGAGTTCAAAACCAAAAGTTGGAATAGGTGTTAATGAATAGTGACCCCTCCCCCCCCACTGGAAAAGCCTGTGAATGTGCTCAGATAACAGCTTTATGTATTGGGGAAGGGCCTAGGCCTGGCCCAAGATGATGTGGTAGACTTTGGGGAGCCTCTTTTGAGGGCCTTACCCTGCCTGGGGAGTGGAAGGGGGATGGCTAGGGGCAGGTGGGATGTTTCGGGGGAGGGAGAGGGAGAAGGGATTGACATCTGAAGCCAGCTTGTTCCTAATTTGAACTAATAAAATAAAATAAAATAAAATAAACAGCTTTATGTATGACCCACATTCTTTTTTAAATTTTATTTGGTTGCTTATTTTTTGAGATAAGGTCTTACTCTTAAATCCTGGATGGACTGGAACTCAGATATTCTCTGCCTTTGCTCCCAAGTGTGGGATTAGAGGTGTACACCACCATGCCCAGCCATTTGTATCTTTTAATAAAGTTAAGAAATGAATGAGTAACATTGTTGGTTAATACAGTATCTTCCATTGTACATGTAGATGTGACTTTTTCAGTCATTCAGTCTTTAATTACATGCTCAGTGATATAGCTGTTTTAGAGAAATGTATTTTCCCATTGAAATTTGGTTTTATGGAGATCAAAAGAAGTCTGTCACAAGGAGATTTAGACGGTTACTCTATGGTTTGATTAGTGTATACACTATATTATCAATACAGATACAATGACAAGCAAGTATGTTACAATTAAATTGAAATGAATTTAACAAACATGGATTGGAAGGCTGATTATAAATTTTAAAATTATAAAGATGATTCTTAAAGGATATTTCAGTTAAGACAAATGGGCCCATCTTAAGAATGTGGAGAGTGTTTCCATTTCTCTAAGGTAGAGACTCTTATCTGCAGGTCCTTTATTGGCCCAAGACTGAAGTATAATGCTGTGGAGCCAGGCATGGTAGCATCCTATAGGCTGAATCATGAGGCTTGATAATTCTAGACCAGCCCATACATACATTCAGACAGACTGTTTTGCTTGGGCAAGAACAATTTTGCCAGGTTTATTAATGAGTGTTAAAGGCTGCTAACTTAGAATTTGCCTTGTTTTAGATGTTACTTCTTTTTGCCTAGGACAATGTTGTCTGCCTGTCACCAAAATTGGCGCAGAGTCTTGGAAATATGAGCCAGATTTGTATTTGTATTCGAGTAACTAGTGCCATCCATCTCATAGACCCAAATACCCTACAAGGTAAGCTTTGGAACTAGGTTTACTTTAACAGTTGTTCTCTATAGTAAATAGTAATCACTCGTGGTCATTGTTTATTCCCCCACCCTCTTTTTTTTTTTTTTTTTTTTTTTTGAGACAGGGTCTCCTGTAGCCTAAGCTGCCCTTGAGCTCTACATGTAGTCAAGGGTGACTTTCAGTCCCTTACCCTCTTTCCTCCACCTCTCCAGTACTGGGATCAGAGAAATGTGCCTTGAAATATGCCACTAGAGATTGAACCCAAGGCTTGATGGATTCTAGGCAAGCATTCTTCTAAGTGAGCTACATCCCTAGTCCCAAGTGTCATTCTTGATAATGTTATTTTGGAAGACTTAAGATTAGTACTTAAAAATACTGGAATTATAAAGCTTTTTGTTACTCTATTTCTCTTTTAAAGAAACAGTTCTGTGAACTTTTAGGTATTTCAGTTTTATTCCATTCATTTTTCTAACAACTTTCTGATTCGTATAATTTTGGTGACTAAGTCTTTTGCCAGATGTATGTGCTCATGTGTGAGAATCATACCTAGAGCCCTGTGCCTGCTAGGAAGAGATTCTGCTGCAAAACTGTATGTCTAGCCTGTTTTTAACAAGTATTTTAAATTTTGGGATATTTGAGCTGTGAGCCAATGAAACACCTAGTTTAAGAATTTTAACTTTTCATCATTTTTTTTTGTTTTTTGTTTTTTTGTTTTTTTGTTTTTTCGAGACAGGGTTTCTCTGTGGCTTTGGAGGCTGTACTGGAACTAGCTCTTGTAGACCAGGCTAGTCTCGAACTCACAGAGATTCACCTGCCTCTGCCTCCAAGTTCTGGGATTAAAGACGTGCGCCACCAATGCCCAGCTTTTTTTTTTTTTCATGATTTTTTAAGGGTCATTTTTAGTGTATTTTTATATAAATCATTTTTTTTAAAGGAAGACTGCATAGTGATAGAAGTCTTGGTATTTGTCTCCTCTATCTTTTTCTTAACTTATTAGTTTTCTGTTATTTCTGATACTTTTCAGAAACTCATTGATTATATTATTATCAGCTAAGGTCTATTTGCAGTAATAGGGTAGGTGGGCATTCTTATCTTTCAGATAAAAGTAGGCTTTATGGCTTATAACTTAAGAGCTATGATGACCAATTAGTTTCTACAGTCAAATGTCATCACGTGAAATCACCATAAAACTGACTGAATTTGTTCAGTGGCATTCTGCTTACAACATCTAAGTGAGATGTAAATATTTTTGACTCCCAGTATTTCCCCTTGTGCCATGGGACATTTAGGACTCATGTTTGGAAGTAAGTGATAACTTAAAGTGGCTTGACTTCTGTTCCTGTTGGCCGGATATTTCCTGCTTGTTACATACATCTTTCTGGTTAACATGTTTAATGACTCAAAAATTTGTTAGTTATCATGATTTTTATGCTTTTTCTTAGTTGCAGATATTGATGGAAACACATTCTGGAGTCATCCTTTCAATAGTTTATGCCATCCTAAACAGCTTGAAGAGTTTATTGTGATGGAATGCAGCATAGTCAGGGATCTGAAAAGAAGTGCGGGGGCTGGAATCATATCAAAAAAGGTAAACAGCATCTATACATTCTTGCTTGTTGAAAAAACTGTTGGTTTTCAGTTGTTGGTAATAATAAAATGTGGAGTCCAGATAAAGGAAAACACCATGTTGCATGTTTGTATTTTCATTGAGCGATGTTTGTGTTTTATACAAGTTTTTATGGTTTCCTTTTAAGTCATTTTATCTATTCCTGATTTGTTAGTTTGTTAGATTTGATTGTTTTAGAATTCTGGCAGTTCTAAATGAGAAAAAGGTATATTAAATGAGAAAAAAAGTCAGTATTATATTTAATTTTTAAATGAAACGATTCTTGAGTTGTTCTGTTATTGAATCTTTTTTCTTTTCTGTTAAGCACACCCTTGGGGAAGTCTGGATCCAGAAGACATCTGAAATGAATACAGATAAACAGTATTTTTGTCGAACTCACTTGGGACATCTTTTAAATCCTGGAGACCTGGTGCTGGGGTTTGTTTTATTTTGTTGTATTTTAACTTGCCCGATAGCATTACAAGTTTTCTTCAGGAGCCAATAAATATTTAAACTTGTTAATTTCAAAAAAGATTTAAGAGTTCTTAAGCACCTACTAGCTTATTTTATTATTGATAACTGTAAAACCATGTATTGGACAGAAAGCCAATAGCTGTTCCATTTGGGCCATCATCTGAAAGAGACATTTATTCAAAGATTTTGGTAATTAAACACTGAATTTATATAGTTTGATGGATATTTATAGATTTTTAGTGGTAGTGGGTTGTTTAATGGCTGTGAAAGTACTTTACTTTTTGGAAATAGGGGCCAAAGAGGTGGCTCAGAGGTTGTGTGTACTGCTCTTTCAGAGGACCCAAGTTCAGTTCCCAGTCCTCATATCAGGCAGGTGACAAGTATTAGTAGCTCCAGTTTTAAGGGATCTGACACTTCTGACTTCTAGGCATTTGCATGCATATAGTGTACATAAATGTATGTAGGCACATACATATACACATAATTAATAAATTAAAAAAGCAACAGCCCTATATGCCAGACAGTGCCCATAAAGTAAATAACAGTCTCTGCATCTGAGCTCATCAGTGTGCTCTAGACATGGGCTTTGCCCCCAGTTAAAGTTGCATTTACAACAGAATGCAAGATTGTTGCTTATTTTATAAACTACGCAGACTCATTTAGTTGCATCCTGAAATTAAGGCTGCTGTGTCAGTCTGTCCGGCTTTTTTTAACAAGTATGTGAAAAAGAGGTCCCACGGTGGACAGTTAAAAACTTAACAGTGCAATATGTTCCTGTTTTACATAGCGTATTTCACAACTTACTTATTTTAATTTTTAAAAATTTAAAATTTTATGTTCATCTTTTGCTTGCATGAGTGTATGTGCCTGGTACCCACAGAGGCTGGGATCCTGTGGAACTGGGGTTAAAATAGTTGTGAGCTGTCATGTGAGTGCTTCTGGAAGAGCAGCCAGTGCTCTTAACCACTGAGCCATCTTTTCAGCCCAAAATTTCAAAACTTAAAATGGAGAGCATACAAAATCTTTTACTTAGAAAGATAGATGTGAGCTGGGAATTGGTGGCGCACGCCTTTAATCCCAGCACTCAGGAGGCAGAGGCAGGCGGAGCTCTGTGAGTTCGAGGCCAGCCTGGTATCCAGAGTGAGTGCCCGGATAGGCTCCAAAGTTACACAGAGAAACCTTGTCTCGAAAAACCAAAAAAAAAAAAAAAAAAAAGGAAAGATAGATGTGTATGTGTGTGTATACATATAGAGATGCTATATATAAGGATTAAGGATTATATACAAAGGATACTCATTAAACTTTTAACTATTTACATTTCAGATTTGATTTGGCCAACTGTAATTTAAATGATGAACATGTCAACAAAATGAACTCAGATAGAGTTCCAGATGTGGTAAGGCTTTAGGGTTTTTTTGTTGTTATAATTTTTTCAGTGTTATAGAGGGTTGATGTAATTCTGAGGATATATTCAGGGCATCCCCACCTCCAATAATCAAATTTTCATTTTCTTAGCAAACACTTGATACTGCTGACCTGGTTGGTGGCATAGGCTTACAATTTCAGGGATGCAGGGGGCTGAGCTGGGAGAATCACAAGTTCAAGACCTACCTGGGTTAGAGAGTGAGTTTAAGTGAATTTAAGATTGTATTGGGAAACTTAATGAGACCCTGTTTCAATAAAACAAAAATGGACAGAAGACTGGGGATATTACTTGGTGACAAAGTATTTGCCTAGTATGTGTAAAGCTCTGCTTCAGTCCCCCAGCACTGCCAAACAAAACTCAAAATACTGTTGATAGAGTGAAAATATGTTTGTACCTGGAAATGATGACTTTTAAAATTTATTCAGACTAAATCTGATATTAGGTTCAGCTCATTTTATGTATTTTCTCCAAAGGATATTTAGAAATAAGACCATTATTTAGTATTAAATACAAATTAGAACTGAAAATAATCTTAGTATCAACTCATGAAGAAAGACTTTTACTTGTGAAGTCTATAGAGTAATAACCTTCATAAATAGCAGTGGATGAAGGATGATACTCCTACTCCTACTTGCTTAATCTTTTTAGAATAAACTTGAATTTAGCCGGGCATTGGTGGTGCACACCTTTAATCCCAGCACTCGTGAGGCAGAGGCAGGCGGATCTCTGTGAGTTCGAGGCCAGCCTGTTCTCCAGAGCGAGTGCCAGGATAGGCTCCAAAGCTACACAGAGAAACCCTGTCTTGAAAAACAAGCAAACAAAAAAAAATTTGTAAGTGCTTATGTCCATCTGTAATGTTTCAAAGTACTGTATGAGTGGTGACTGAAAATTAAAGTTTAAGGAAAAACAGTGTAAATTTTTGGCATTAAAAATTTAACATTTAGTCATTTGAAATTTTCGCAGTTGTATAAATAATGCTCAAATGCATCCTCATTAATACATGGTAAAGGTTTTAAAAGTCCTCTTGACACTGCCTGTTGATCTCCACACCTTTCTTCTGAAGTGTAACTACCACCATCAGTTCGACTCCCTGGCATGCCTAAGTTTTAAATTTTTTCCCTACTGTGTGTCTCTTGTCCTGTAACTGCAGATATTTCTGTTACAGGTGTTAATTAAGAAGAGCTATGACCGTACCAAACGCCAGCGCCGTAGAAACTGGAAACTAAAAGAACTTGCAAGAGACAGGGAAGACATGGATACAGATGACGAAAGGTCCTGCTTTCCTTTATTAAACCTTAAAAGTTATTTCAAGGGAAATCCTTAGAAATTAGTCTTACATTGTCAAGAAATTGCTATTATCCAATAGATCTTTACACTCAAAATTAACTTTGGATTAGAAAGTTATGAATGGAATCTACATAAGAGAATTGATAAAAGAATGTAATGACAGCTCAGAAATTATTTCCTGGGTTATTGTCTTTTACAGGTTTGTTATAAATAATTTAGTTTAAAAGATCAATTGTAATGAATATTACCATGTGGATGTTACAAATTGACATTAGATATTACTCAGATAACTTAAGTAAAGTAAAAATAGTGTTTTCTAAAAGTGTTTATTGAATGAATTTAAGATGTGACCTTAATTCTTAATTCTTTCTTTTCTTTTTTTTGGGGGGGGTATTTTTATTTATCTTTACGTGTATGAGTGTTTGCATGTGCATACAGTCTCCATGGAGGCCAGAAGAAGGTGTGAGATCCCCTAGGACTAGAGTTAGAGATGGTTGTGAGCCATAATATCAGTGCTGGGTAGTGAACATGGGTCCTCTGGAGGCCCAGCCACTAGCCTTAACTGCTGAGCCATCTCTTCAGCCTGTGTGACCTTAATTATTGATGATGGTAAAAAACATTGAGAAAAATGAAGACTTTATATTATTGGGAAGTAATGGCATGTCATAAAGTAATATCTATATATCTATATATCTATATAGATTTATATAGATATATAGATATATATATATCATGTTAAACTGTTTAGAAGTACATACTTGACTATTTCATCTGTAATCTTAGCCTGGAGCTTATGGCTCAGCAACTAAAGGCTCTTGTGTGCAAGCTCTGTGACCAGAATTCCAGCCCCTAGAGCCAACATAAAAACTGAAGGAGAGAACTGACTCAACGCTGTCCTCTGGGCTGGAAAGATGCTTCCTGTTCTTTCAGAGGACCTAAATTCAGTTCCCAGCACTCACATGGGGTGGCTCTAACTCCAGAGCATCCAGTTCCCTCTTCTGGCCTCTGTGGGTCCCCTCACACTTCTGGCATATAGTCACACAGATATACACATACAGACTCACACATAAATAAAAATAAATCATTTAAACAAAACAGAACACCTCAAATTAACGGTAGTGTTAAAAGGTTATATATTTGCTTGTCTGTAAGAATTGGCATGTTTGGATAGAATGAAGGTGAGGTATCTTCATTGTCTTGCATTTAATATCACCTTAATATTCATCAGTTATATAATATTGCAAGGAAATTTGTTTTCCAGCCTGCCTACTTATTAGCATCTATTGACCTTTGTATGATAATACTTGAGAAGGTGCTCAAAGTTTCTTTTTCTTGTAGGCAATATCAAGATTTCCTTGAAGATCTTGAAGAAGATGAGGCAATTAGAAAAAATGTCAACATTTATAGAGGTTGGTGCTTTAGGTGTCTTAAAGTCATGTTGTAGATAGTATCTTTGAGGATATTTAGGATTTTTAAACTTTACTTTCCATAAGTGACTTTTATTTGTCTTATAAACTACTGTAGTCAGGCTTTTACCTATATAAGGAGCAGTAAAATTTACTAAATATTATTTGCTGTATACATATGATGCAGTTGTTATCCCAGCCTCATTCCTTATGTTGCTAGCTCTTTAATTTGCTACTTTATTCAGTAAGTATTTGAAAGCGTGCTGTATGTAAGAGCTGAGAGCTTGTACTACAGCATGGTTAGTTAGTTCATTAGTTAGTTAAGTACTGATGATGGTAGGGGTGGTTGTTTGTGCATTTCTGTATTTTTATATGTGAAATATCTCTCGGCTTCCTTAGATTCCACCGTCCCTGTGGAAAGTGATACAGATGATGAAGGAGCACCTCGAATTAGTCTGGCCGAGATGCTTGAAGACCTTCATATTTCTCAAGATGCCACAGGTGAAGAAGGTGCATCAATGATGTCATGAGTCATGTTATATGCTGTTCGCATATCTGTGACCTCAGGAAGTCAGCAAAATAACCTTTATTGTATAGTACATGTATTTCCTTATATTTTGAGATGAGAAATTTGGCCTTAAACTTGAATAAATGACTATTTTGATTGTTCACTTAAAGTGTTGAAAGGTTTCATAATTTGATAGTTAGAAATAAGAGATTAGATGGCAATCATTTTATTTCTGCATAGAATTAGTGTCCTTACCCCTTTTCTCCCTTCCTGGGAGTAAGCCCAAGGCCTGTGCTTGCAAAGTTGGTGTCTTATCATCAAGCTACAACTTTAACTCTACAAAAAAACTTTTAATTGACAGTTATTTTAATTTTTATTTCAATAGAATGTGTTTAAAATATCTATAGATTTGTAGGGAACACAGACTAATTTTATAGGTTAAATAGCAATTTGTTTTGTATTGATTCTACCTTGGACAGCATTTTAGGGTGATAGCTTGCTTATATTATAAAAATACCTGCCGGTTTTATCAAGGATATAGTTTTTAAATTTGGGGTTTCAAGTTGAAAAGGAAGACTTTTCTGTAAGTTTCTGTCATTGATCATAACATACTAGCATCAGCAAGAATGTGATTGTAGATGATGGAATAGGAAAATCTTTTATAAAACCAAGAATAATGCCTTCCATATTCTCAAAGAAGAGTGTTGACTTGGGTTTAAGCATTTTGAAAATGAAGTTTTATTACCTTGTTCCTGTAAGCAGGATTTGCTAAGCACACCTTACTGAATGCTCTTTACTTAGTCTGTGTATATCATTAAATATGCAGATGAAACCAAGTACTCAGTGCAACACAGTCTTTAAAGACTCAACTCCCTGGTTTTTGAAGTTAAGAATAAAGGTGCAGACATCCTCCAGTCCTAAGTTTCTGTATGTGTATTCATCTAACAGGCATATTCTGCTCTGGTGGTAGACTGGTGAGGATTTGTGTTCTTCAGAGATGAGCATGACCTTATCAAGTCCTGACTTGTTTTACCACTGGTTGGTTTGTCAAGATTTTAAGGCAGTATCTCATGCAGTTTTATGAAATGGAGTTGTCAATTTAAATATTGAATTGATTTTCCACTTAAAAATTGAGTTTCCTTCTAGCCCTAGTCTTTTCTGAGTAAAGTTATCCAGGCACTTGCAGAGTTAAGCAGTTTGCTAAGTCTACCATTTCAGTGAGTGCCATGATACTATGACTGCTGTTCCAGGGGTGATAGTGGTTAGGGAGCTAATCTTAGTCCAATGCACAAGAAGTTTTTATAATCAGCTTTGTAAATTCTTTGGTTATCATTGTATGTAATGGAAACACACACTTGAAAACTGCTGTTTTGTAGTCAGAAGTCTGATGAGCAAGGAAGAAGATGAGGGAGAGTTGCTTTTACAATTGAGATGCTTAACAGGGTCAGGCTAATACCTTGCCATGGTACAGAACATGTAAGTGTAAGATTCTGTGTTACATTAGCATCTCATGCCTCTTTGATAGGACTAGTCCTTTAGTAGTATGTTTTACTTAATTGACATTTTTTAAAGAGTCCAAGACAGTTATTTTACAGAATGACCTCAGTTTGGCTTGGTCTTTTCCTGTGACTAGATTTAGGTTATGTCTATTGGTAGGGCTGCCTAAAGAGAAGTCAAACCTGATGCATTAGCATAGGATACGCGTGCTGCCCAGGAGTCCACATGCTCCCAAACCTGGCATTGGGATTTTGGCTTCCTGGTCTGAGGATGGGCTCTCATTCCATGTATTTGTTTATTCAATTTCTTTTTTATATCACTATAAACTCTAGGGATTCCCCCCCCCCTTGCATCTAGCATGATTTGTGTATGGTCATTAGTTTTACTTGCTCTTTTAAAAGCTCATTTTCAACAATTAGACAATCTGAAGTTTGGTTTTTTTTGTTTGTTTGTTTGTTTGGTTGGTTGGTTTTTCAAGACAGGGTTTCTCTGTGGCTTTGAAGGCTGTCCTGGAACTAGATTTTGTAGACCAGGATGGTCTCGAACTTGAAGTCACAGAGATCTGCCTGCCTCTGCCTCCCGAGTGCTGGGATTAAAGGTGTGCATCGCCACTACCCAGCTAGGTCTGAAGTTTTACATGTGTAGATTATATAATCACAATCAATGTTCAGGTCAGCACATATACATGCTAACTATTCCTTCATTCTTTGTTTTTAATCTGTACCTGTATTCCGTTGGTAATATCTAATCTGGACTCTGAACTTATTTTGCTTCTCCTAAAGTAACTGAGTAATATCATACTATATGTGTGTGTGTGTAAATTTTTCATTTTAATTTCTCAAGTTATTTATGTTTAGAATTTCCCTTTATTTCTGATACTACACTGTATAGATATATTTATCTATTCCTTTGTTTGAGACATATTTGTTTTTAGCTTTAGATCCTTGAGTGAAGCTGTTATGAACATTTCTGTACAGGTTTTTGTTTTATTTTTTCCATTTTCCTTTAGTAAAGAACTAGAAGTTGGGAGTAAGGGGAATCTGTGGTTATAGTTCAGTGGTAGAGTACTTGCTTAGCATATGTGAGACCCTGGCTTAGATTTCCAGCAATAGAGAAAAACAATAGCTAGTAAGAGTGGGGTTGTTACACCCTATAGTGAATGTATGCTTAATCTTACAGAATTGTCCAAGGTTTACCCAAGTGGCTGTGCCATTGAGTTTTCAGACCAGCAGTGGATGAGAGTTTTATTACTCTGATCGTAGTCAGTGTTTTTAAGGACAGCCTGGTAGGTGACAGTGGTATCTTTTGTGACTTTGTTGAGTGTGTATGTGCTGCTGAGGACTGGTCCAGACCTGTGTACTTTAAGCAAGTAGTTCAGCATTGAGCTATATCTCCAGCCCTCTTTTTGTGATTTTATAGGTATTGTCATAGTACTATCTTTTCATGTGCTAGTTTTGTGTGTCTTCCTAGATAAAATGGTTGTTCAAATCTTTTGCCTATTTTTTTTGAGATTATAATTAGAACATTTCTCCCTTCCCTCCCTTCAGACCTTCTCATATACTTTCCCCTCATTCTTTCAAATATTAGCTTCTTTTTTTTCTAATGTTATTGCATGCATATATACATATTTATATGCACATAAAATCCTAAATACAGCCTGCTTTTACTTGTATGTATGTTTTCAGGGATCGCTGTTTAGTAGTGGTCAAACAATTGATACGCTCTTCCCTGGGGAGCATCACATCTCCAGCTCCCAGTTTTACTCAGTTGCCTGTAGTTCCTTTTATCTACTTTTTAAAAATGTTTTTTTTTTTTTTTCTTAGCGCAGGGTGCTATGAAAAATATTATGCAATGGACTATATAAACACTGTAAACTTGGGTGCTTCTGAGGCTAGAAAGCCAAGTTTAGGGTTCCATTATGATTAGGCTCTAGGGAGGGCCTTACAGTTTTGCAAAGACCCTGGTTCTTCATAGGCACAGAGCAAGCCCTCTCTGAGTCACCTCCTTGGAGCACTAATCCCTTGGTAAGAGTGCTACTCTCAATTATTTCCCTAAGGCCTCTCTTGATCATTAACATTAGGATTAGATTCTGTCATGTATTTGGGGAACATACATTCAGTCCATAGCAGGTTGTTTGCTTTTATTGCTGAGTAGTTAATTTTTAAATTTAGTGCTGACATACCAGAACCAGCCAGTGGGATGCCTCTTCAAGTTGAATTCTGTCTTTGGCATCTGCCTTATTGCTACATAAAATCTTGTTCAGGGGTGGTGTACTCTTTTGGATTTCCTTTGATCAGGCCCTACATTATGTGAATGCCTTATTTTGCCTCATGAGACTATGTTATTAGTTAGAAATTAGACAGTTCTCCATTGAGCCACCTGGTTTAAGAAATCATGAGTTTCATAAAGAGTAACATATTTAATGGTTGATCATTCTCAGCTGCTCAGTTTTGTCACATGTTGGGTTTTTTGTTTGTTTGTTAAGACAGGGTCTTACTGTATAATCTGGACTGGACTGGAGTTTATTATATATAGACTAGGCTGGCCTCAAATTCAGATCCACATTTTTAAACCTTCCAAGAGCTAGGACTAAAGGTGTGTACTGTTATGCCTGGCCTTCTGTTACATGTTGCAAATAACTTGACCAATTCCAGGAAGATATGCCTTGAAGGCAAGAGATCTAAGTTTCTCTTTTTACTGCAAAGTAGAGTGATGGAAAATACTCAACTTGAATTCTTGTAATGACATTGATTTTGAATGAACTTCCTATTTCTTGGGGGAAAGACTTACTTCTCAATGCCTGTTCTCTTAGGAGTAGTTTGGGTAACCACATGTTTCTTTAGCAATGCTGGTTGCTATTGATCCACTGGGGTTAGCACTGCAATTATGATTCTTAGACATTACCTTCTGTCAGTTTCATGTGAGTTGGTACTTAAAACCTACTTCACAGCATTCTTGTGAACTATTTTGAAATAATATGCATTAGTACTAGTTCATGAAGTGCTAAAAAAGCAATTCTTTTAGGCAGGCCTTGTGATGCAGATAAAGAAGTAATGGCATGATAGGGGTGTGGGGGTAGGATGTAGCTCAGTGGTGTAGCCCCTGTCTAACATGCCTGAGGCCCTGGTCTAGTCCCTACTACCACAGGCAAAAAACAAACAAACAAACAAAAACCTTCTACCTAATAGCCAGCTGCCTTGAGTATCTGGTCTCCCCCCCCTCTCTTTCTCCCTCCCTCTCTCTCTCTCCCTCCACCCACCCACCCCATCCCCACCTCCGTATGTGTGTATGTGTGTGTGTGTGTGTTGCTGGGGATGGAACCTAGGGCCTCAAGCATGCTAGATGAATTTCTTACTGATCTGCGTTTATTCTGTAAAGTGACTCTTCCCTTCCCCTTCCTTCAGAAGACAATCATTGTGTACAGCCCATAGCTAAGATGTAGTGAATTTTTCTACTCAACTCTGAGGGTGAGGTATATAAACTTTGAAATTCATTTTCATGGGAGGTTTTTTCCTATGTTTACTCTTCAGTCACTTAACTCAGTATAGATTCATGGGTATTTTATAGTTTGTATTATCATCTTATTCTGTTTTATCTTGTTAGAGTTATCCTAGCTTCAGCCATTGAGATAACTCATTCAGTTACCACCTGTGCTTGTTCGATTGGCATAAT